ATGACAAAACCAGATTTAAACAATACCTATCCACAAACCCAGCCCTACAGAAATTACTAAAATGAAAACTTCAACCCAAGGAAGTCAATCACATTCACAAAAACACAGGCAATAGTTATCTCACAACAACAAAGTCCAAAGAAGATAAGTGCACACAAAATGCCACCACCACCAACAAAAACAAAAATAATAGGAGCTAGCAACCACTGGTCATTAATATTGATTAACATAAATGGATTTGATTCACCTATAAAAAGACACAGGATAAGAGAATAGATATGAAAACAGAATTCATCCTTCTGCTGCATATAAGAAATAAACCTCAACCTCAAGGACAGATGTTACCTCAGAGTAAAGGGTTGGGAAAAAATTTCCCAATCAAGTGGTCCTAAGAAATGGGCTGGTATAGCTATCCTATAATTATATAACAAAGTAGACTTCAAATCAAAATCAATCAAAAGAGATAAAGAAGGCATTTCATATTCATCACAGGAAAAATCCAGCAAATGGAAATCTCAATTCTGAACATCTTTGCCCCAAAACAAGGGCTCCCACATTTGTAAAAGAAACAATACTAAAGCGCAAGTCATACATCAAGCCCCACTTACTAATTGTGGGAGACTTCAACACCCCACTTCCGCCAATGGCCAGTTCTGCCAGACAGATACTTAACCGAGAAATAAGGGAACTAACAGATGTTAGGACTCAAATTGTCTTAACAGGCATCTCTCGAACATTCCACTCAAACACAAAAGAATATACCTTCTCAGCACCTCATGGAACATTCTCAAAAATTGATCACATACTCAGTAACAAAGCAAACTTCAACAGACACAAAAAAATGGAATAACCCCATGTGCCTTTTCAGACCACTATGGCTTAAAGTTATAATTCAACATCAACAATAATTTCAGAAAGCCCTCAAACACATGGAAATTGAGCAATGATCAACTGAATCACCACAGGGTCAAGGAAGAAACAAAGAAAGAAGTTAAAGACTTCCTAAAATTCAATGAAAATGACTGCATAACATACCCAAACTTATGAAAGCAGTGCTAAGAGGAAAGTTCATAGCACTAAATGCCCACATAAAAAGCTGGAGAAATCCCACACTAATGAATTAACAGAACAACTGAAAACTCTAGAACAAAAAGAAGCAAACTCACCTAGGAGGAGTAGATGGCTGGAAATAATTAAATTGAGGGCTAACCTTAATAAAATTAGAAACAAAGATAGCAATACAAAAAAATCAGTGTGACAAAAAGTTGGTTCTTTGAAAAAAATCAACAAGATAGATAAACCTTTATCCAAACTAACCAAAAGACTGAGAAAGAATTTGAAAATTAACAAAATCAGAAATGAAAAAGGGGACATAACAACAGACACTGAGGAAATCCAAAGAATCTTCAGGTCATACTTCTAAAACCTGTACTCCATAAGACTGGAAAATTTAAAGGAAATGGAAAATTTCCTGGATAAGTACCACATACCAAAATTAAATCAAGACCAGATAAACAAATTAAATGGAACTATAGTTACCAAGGAAATAAAAATGGTCACCAAAGGCTCCCAACCAATAAAAGCCCAGGACTAGATGGTTTCAGCACAGAGTTTTACCAGAATTTTCAAGAGCTAATATCAATACTCCTCAAATTGCTTCACACAATAGAAACAGAAATAACACTGTCAAACTCTTTCTATGAAGCTATGATTACCCGGATACCCAAAACATACAAAGACACAAGTAAGAAAGAGAATTACAGACCAATCACCCTCATGAACATTGATGTAAAAATACTCAATAAAATACTGGCAAACCAAATCCATGAACATATCAGAAACATACACCATCATCAGGTAGGCTTTATCTCAGAGATCTAGGGATGGTTCAACATACAAACATTTGTCAATGTAAACAAACTGGGAAAAAAAACTGTATGATAATCTCATTAGATGCTGAAAAAGCCTTTGACAAAATCCAACACCCCTTCATGATAAAAGCCTTGGAGAGATCAGGGATACAAGAGACATTCTTAAACATAATAAAGGCAATATACAGCAAGCCAACAGCCAACATCAAACTAAATGGAGAGAAACTCAAAACTATTCCACTAAAATCAGGAACAAGACAAGGCTGTCCACTCTCTCCATATCTATCCAATATAATACTTGAAGTCCTAGCTAGAGCAATAAGACAACAAAATGAGATCAAGGGTATATCAAGTTTTTTGCTATTGGGGGTTGATATGATAGTATACGTAAGTGACCCAAAAAATTCTACCAGGGAACTCCTACAGCTCATAAACACCTTCAGAAATGTATCAGGATACAAGATTAACACAAAAAGTCAGTAGCCCTCCTATATACAGATGGGAGACTGAGAAAGAAATCAGAGAAACATCACCCTTCACAATAACCACAACATAAAATATCTTGTGGTAACTCTAACCAAACAAGTGAAAAGACCTATATGACAAGAACTTTAAGTCATGTAGTTAAAAGAAGATAACAGAAGAAATGAAACTGAAGAAGATATCAGAAAAATGGAAAGACCTCCCATGCACATGAATAGGTAGGATTAACATAGTAAACGGCAAAAGCAAATTACAGTTTCAGTGCATTATCCATCAAAATCCCAGCACAATTCTTCACAGACCTAGAAAGAACAAATCTCAACTTCATATGGAAAAACAAAACAAAACAAAACCCCACGATAGCCCAAACAACCCTGTATAATAAAGGAAAATCTGGAGGTATCACCATCCCTAACTTCAAGCTCTATTATAGTGCTATAGTAATGAAAACAGCTTGGCATTGGCATAAAAACAGACAGGTGGATCAATGGAATCAATTCGAAGACCCTGATATTAATCCTCACACCTATGAACAACTGATTTTTGACAAAGAAGCTAAAATTATACAATAGAAAAAAAGAAAGCATCTTCAACAAATGGTGATGATGTAACTGAGTGTTGGTTTGTAGAAGAATGCAAATAGATCCATATATATCACCATGCACAAATCTCAAGTCCAAATGTATTGAAGACCTCAACATAAATCCATCCACACTGAACCACATAGAAGAGAAAGTAGGAAGTACCCTTGAACATATTGGTACAGGAGACCGCTTCCTAAATCTAACACCAATAGACAGACAATGAGAGCAATACTTAATAAATGGGACGTCCTGAAACTGAGAGGCTTCTGTAAAGCATAGGACATGGTCAGCAAGACAAAATGGCAGCCTACAGAATGTGAAAAGATCTTCACAAACCCCACATCTGACAGAGGACTCATCTCTAAAATATACAAAGAACTTAAGCAACTATACACCAAACTACCAAATAATATAATTAAAAAATGGGATGCAGAACTAAACAGAGAATTCTCAACAGAAGAATCTCAAATGACTTAAGGAAATGCTCAGCATCCTTAGCCATCAGAGAAATGAAAATCAAAACAATTCTGAGATACCATCTTATACCCATCATAATGGCTAAGATAAAAAACATTATTGCCAGCTTATGCTGGAGAGGATGTGGAGTAAGAGAACACACCTCCATTGTGGGTGAGAGTGCAAACTTGTACACCCACTGTGGAAATCAGTATGGCAATTTCTCAGACAACTAGGAATCAACCTACCTTAAGATCCTGCAATATCACTTTTGAGCATATACCCAAAGAAGGCACACTCACACTACAAGGACATTATTCATAATAGCCAGAACTTAGAAACAACCTAGATGCCTTTTAACCAAAGAATGGATAAAGAAAATATGGTACATTTACATAATGGAGTACTCATCAATAAGAAACAACAACATCCTAAAATTTGTAAGCAAATGGACAGAACTAGAAAAAAATCCTGAGTGAGGTAACCCATATCCAGAAAGACAAATATAGTATTACTGACTCATAAGTGAGTACTAGACATAAAGCAAAGTATAAACAACCTACAATCTACAACCCAAAAGAAGCTACACCCTTCTTCCAGAAACAGATGGAAGCAGATGTTCAGATCTATAACTAACCATTGCACTGACCTCCCAGAGTACAATCAAAGTGAGGGAGGAGGAGAAAATATGAGCAAAGGAGCCAAGGCCACAATGAGGAAACCCACAGAATCAGCTGACCTGAGCTAGTGAGAGATCACTGACTCTGCACTATCAACTGGGGAACTGTCATAGGATGGAACTAGGACTCCTTAATTCAGGTGACAATGGTGTGGCTTGGGCAGTCTACGAAGCCACTGGCAGTGGGACTAAGATATGCCTCTAATGCTTGAACTGATTTTGTGGAACCCATTCTCTATGGAGAGATACCATGCTCAGCCTAGACATGGGGAGTGCCTTGGTCCTGCCTCAAAAAGATGATGCAACAGGCTTAGTTGACATCCTAGGGGAGGCTTTACCCTATCTGAGGAGTATATGGGCGGTAGGATGGCGGAACAGGTGTATATGAGGGAGGGGGAACTGGGATTGTTCAGAATGTAAAAAATAAATAAATAAAAAGACCAAATAAAAAAAAAGAAGAAATAAAAAAGAAATGGGCCTGATGATGTGAGGGGTCATGGCTAAGACCATATTATTCATGAGAGATGTATGAACTCCTGGCCTCTGCCTTTGGAACAATGCCTTCTACCTGACACCATGTTGTGAATATTGACTTAGGGATGGTTTTTATTCTGAGCTTAGACTTCTCTCAGTTTCAATTTAGCCTAGAGCCCATGCCCATTCTCCACAGGAGAAACACTCTACCTCTCTCCCAACTCATGCCTTTGGAAATTGTGACACAAATCAACCCTTAATCCCTGCGACATGAGGTTCTGGACACCGATCAAAAAAGTCTCTTAGATACCAGTTCTGATTCAGATAAGTAAGGAGGGCAATCATGTTGCCCATTGAGGAGTATGTTCTAGTGACTAATGATCCTGAAAGGCGAAATGAGTTTTGAGATATGAGAAACAATGGACAATATTTGTGTAAACTTCTGTTCCTTTCCTACTTTGTGTCTGTGCCTCTCCCTAGTACCTTGCACAGAGCCCCCTTCACATCCTTGTTTCTCAGGGTATAAATCAGAGGGTTCAGCATAGGAGTAACTATGGTATAAAAGAGGGCAACAAACTTCCCTTCACTCTCAGAATATCCACGGACAGGTTGGAGATAAGTGTACATGGCTGAGCCATAGAAAAGGAAAACCACCATGAGGTGGGACCCACAAGTCCCCAGAGCCTTCCTGCGCCCAGCCATTGACTTGATCTTCAGCACTGCATGAACAATGAGTACATAGGTCCCTAGAATCAGTGTTACAGGACAAACCAAAATTATGGCTCCAGCCACAAACACGTTGTCCTCTATTCTCTCTGTGTCCTCACAAGCCAGCTTCAGGAGCACAAGCATATCACAGAAGAAGTGGTCCAGGTGATGACCACAGAGAGGTATGGTCGTGATGAGGACTGTCTGAGTCAGGGAGTTCACGAGGCCTCCCACCCAGGAGGAGATGGCCAATGCCTGGCAGAGAAGAGGGTGCATAATGGTAGTGTAGTGTAGTGGACGGCACACAGCAGCATAGCGGTCAAAAGCCATCATCACAAGGAGCACACACTCAGTTCCACCCAGCAAGAGCACTGTGAAGAACTGGGTCATACACCCAGCATAGCTTATGGTCTTGTCAATTCCAGAAATACTGACAAGAAGCTGAGGTACAGTGCTGGTGGTGTAGCAGAGGTCCAGGAAGGAGAGGTTGTTGAGAAAGAAGTACATTGGCGTTTGTAGTCGACGATCCATTCGTGAGACTGTGATGATGGTGGAGTTGCCAAGGATGGTAAGGAAGTAGAAAATTGAAATGAAGATAAAAAAGACATGTTCCAGTTGAGGCCAATCTGAGAAGCCCATCAAAACGAAGCCACCTTCTAAACTGGTGTTGAAGCTGTCCATAGCCCTTCACACTCACAAAACAGAAGACAACTCAATGCTTGGTATCACAGAGGGCACATTGAAGTCACTTGAACCCACAGAGTAACCCAAAGCTGAATGAAGCCTGGCTCTTTGCCTTCTTTCTGGTCTGTCTCCTGGTGACTCTTGACTCTGCTGTGGTGGCACAGCCTGAAGATACAGAGAGCCCTTCTTCTATACCTGCAGTCAGGTTGGATTCCAGGAACAGCAGGACCTACAAGAAGGACAGATTATCACCCAGTTATCTACAATGAATTGTCTATATTGTGTATCACATCATCTGATGGGAACCAGATTGGTTTCCTGCTTTCAGTGATGAACACACCAGCAACTTCAGCACCATAGCTGAGATGATGATGTGTAGGACCATACCTTAACCATGTCCTAGTACAGGTTTTTGTTCCCTGAATGCAGCCATTGCACAGTCCTTCAAATGTCTTGTGTTAATCATTCCTTTGCACCATGTTATATGTTTTATTCATTGTGTGTATGTGAATGCTGATGTGTGCCATGACATGACTGTGGAGGTCAGAGGACATCTACGAGAGCTGATTGTCTCCTTCTGCTGAGTGTGAACTGAGGTTGTCAGGGCTGGCATCAAGTTCCTTTATCTTCTGGGTCATCTTGGTGATCCATTGTGCACTTTTAAATGTTTGAAGACTAGGTGTTTCCACTAAGGGCCTAAATGTCCCAGATATGCTTACAGTAACAGTCAAAAATGCACATAGCAAACAATAAACTTGGTCAGCAATCATTCATATTAAACATTCTTTTGGTACCCTTCAGTTCACCCACTAATTTAATGATATTGTCAGAACATAATGAAACAAATCAAACAGTTGATTTTTCTGGAGAAAATGAGGAGTTTCTTTTTCCTTACAAATTAACTTCTTACTTAAACCATGTATTTCTTTCATTTATTTATTGAAAATAATTTTTAGTATATAATATATTTGGATCACAGTTTTTCCTTCCCCATCTCTTTCCAGCTCCTCCCAATCTCCCCATCCATCCAACTCCATACTACTTTCTCTCCTTAAAAAAACAGACAAATAAAACTACAAGCACGTGAAACACACACACACACACACACACACACACACACACACAGTTACTCTGGGTCAGGGCATGGAAGGGACCATAAGCTGCTCATTAGCTTAGGTTGCAAAAGTTGATTACCTGGGAAATCCAAGGCAAGTAATGTTCTCTCCATGTCTCTGTCTCTTCTGTCTCTCTCTCACACACTCACACTCTCCACTCTTTTATTTAAAATATAGTCTTTTCCTGTATAATATATCCTTATTACAGTTTCCCCTCTGTCTACTCCTCCCAGTTCTTCCCCACCGCCTCTCACATCCACTAATGTCTGTCTCTCATTAGAAAAGAACTGGCTTCTAAGATAACAAAACATAAAATATATAATGTAATATGATAAAATTAAAAATTGCAGTTGGACAAGGCAAACATACAGAAGGAAAAGAGACCAAGAGAGGACACAAGAATCAGAGAGTCACTCATTCCCTCTCTTGGGGGTCTCATAAAAACACTAAACCAGCAGCCACAATACATACGCAGCGGACCTGGTACAAACCCGGTACAAACCCACGCAGACCCTGTGCTTGCTGCTTCAGGCTTCATGAACTCATATGCAATGCACTTTGCTCTGTTGATTTAGAGGGCCTTGCTCACGCGGTGTCCTCCCTCCCCCCTGGTGGGATGTCCTCATCAAACCCCTCCCCTCAAGGTTCAGGGAAAATAAGGGAAAGATGAGGAGGAAAGATTGTAAGAGTCGAGAGGATGGACGACACCGAGGGAACAGGGCCTTCCCGACAGACTACGACTGACTCATGCATGAATTCACAGAAACTTTGGCAGCATGCATGGGGCCTGCACAGGTTCAAGTCAGGCTGGTACCAGATCTGAAAGGGGGAGTAGAAAGAAAGCTCCTATTCCTAATTGAGAGGACATCGTCAACTGATAACCGCTTAAGAAGGAAAAATTACTTTTCTCCAATTGAATTTCACTGCATATATAAGCCATACTTAATACAACCTCATGCCTCATAAGAAGACCCAATACTAAACAAACTAAATGCTATGTTTTGTAGATTTTTTTCTCATATCATGATTCCTGGTTATGGGTTTGGAGTGTGTGTGTGTGTTCTGATAATCATTTACTGGAAAAATACAAGTTGAAAGCAGTTTTATAAAATGAATAGCCACAGAAATGATAGACACAACATACAGATATTGCTTTATAAATGATGCTGTTTGTAGAAAAAAGGAACAATAACTAATATACAGCAGTATCACTTCAGTAGGTAATAGTTTCAAGGAATTTGGCAGCAGTAGTGCAATAACGTGAACATTGGATATCATTGAATCCTTACAGGAAAGCAAACAAGCTATTTTCTCTTGGTCTGATGTGGTCCTTGGTCACACAGTTCATAAGGTGAAATCTAACCTCCAAGGTGATGTTAAGAAAGACGAGGCCCACTCATTAGAAAGTACAAAATATTTAGAAAGTTTAGGAAAACTAGATAGCCTAGTTTCGAAGAGATTGCTGTAAGCCAGAGGGAGACAAGAAGTAACACAAGAGACACAGTGGTTACTCAATAAAAGAGAGAATTGCTGGTTTTGTTACTGCTTCTCTGCCATTAGTGTCCATACAAAACTGTACTTTCTGTGGTTGTACATGTCACTGCCAAAATATTTGTAGTTGCTGGTTCCTTAGGCAAACAGAGTGTTACATAACCTAATAAAGGAATTTACATTAAAAAAAGAAGGCCGAGGCACAACTTGACACTGTGCAAAGAATGACAGACTTTGGAACACTCAGACCATGTTTTCTTGATACTAAAACTGGTTTCATCGCCTTTAAGTATGTATGGATGTATGGATGTGTGTGCACATAGATCCCGCATTAATGTTTCAGAGAAAGACCATGATATAAAATCTTACTAGACATGAGCCAATCCTTCTACCCATCTCCATTATTACAGATCTAGTTGATTTCTGATCTGGACCCCATCCGTTTCACATTAGAAACTACCCAGTGTCCCCTTTTAGCCCAGTAGACTTGAGGTATTCTATAAGACTCATCAAATACCCAAAAATGACTCCTCCATTTTCAAATATAATTCATAAAACCAGAGATTGACTATAGTGTGTGCATTTGACACTGAGAGTGAATTTAAAATGTCTTGTTTTTACTGTGACTCTCCACACGCAACATTGTCTCCATTTGTGATAGATTTCCGTTTAGGTGCCCTTTCTAGTAAGTTCTTCCTGTTGTATTCCAAAAACTCCTCCAATGCTTCTTTCCTTTATCTCCTGACTGTGATGCTTCTGATTTACTTGAGCTTTGGCATTGTAGCATTGGAGTTTTGAAAGGGAGTTCAAAACAATTTTATATCAAGACTTATACTTTATATTTTAAAAAACTTTATACAACTGATAAAGTTTAAAACTGAAAATGATGCAGGGAATATTTTTGATGCCTTGTACAGAATAGAGAGGGCGTGAACAAGTGATGGAAATCCAGTTAGTCTATGAGTGATACAACATGTTTTTTGATGGACATTAACTGTGTGAATCCAGTGTGATGGAGCTAAGTGCTAGTTACCTTGTGGACTATTTCTCATTTCCTAGATTTTTAAAGTCAAGACTGACTAGCCACCCATTCTGCACTTACCTGGAGCTCAAGGACAGAAAACAGTTGCTCTCTTCTCCAATTCTATTGGCGTCAAGGATAGATGAGATCTACTATACACTGGTGGGAGCCACTTGTGATAAAACAGATATTTCTACTTGGCTCCTGATGCCATCTTTACCCTGAGTTACTATCTTAGAGAAATTACCACAGCATGTGGTCCAATTTCTTACCAAGAGCAGAGATTGCTGATGCCAAAGCAGGAGATGGGGGCACCTTTCTGACCCAACCTCTGCTTTCTTAACTCCAACTCCTTTGCCTCCTTCTGACCCCAAGACTTAGCTGGTGTATCACCCGCATTTTCTGACCTAAGGCCTCAATACACTTCTAAAGGACTCTATAAAGTAGTGGAGGGTGAGTTAATTAATAAGCACAGCCTTGGAGACTACTGGGCCCATTGTGGCAAATCATGATCCAATGATTGGTCCTTTACGATCTGCCCTGCAGCCCTCAGTTTTCTTCTCCCCATGCTCTGCCAGACCAATTTGAGGTATTTACAGTTGCCTCAGAACACAACTTCTTATTTTCCCATGGGACTCTGCAGCCTGAGATTCCTTGCACTTCCCTAGTTTGATCTCAATCCTAACCAGCCCTTCCTCAATCAGACAAATTCCGTGTCTCACTTAAGAGACTACCACATTCTTCACATCTCAAATTTGCTCCTTTTCTGGACTCTTCATACAGTCCTCACTTATGCCCACATATGCCTAAGATAGTATCATTTATGACAGGCAGGTTAGGTGACACAATCAGTGTCCCTTGATTATGCATCAAGTGTCTACCAGAGTCCATTAGCAATGTGATATTTGTATCTGGTAAGCAGAAAGGGATGTGTCTTTGCATTAGGGGCCCAGAATGGCATATGATTGATTCATTTGTTAGACCTTTTCAGAGATATTCCTGCAACATTGCTAGGTGGATATTTAATATCTCACATTTCATGCAGCAGAGCTGCTTTGAATGTATTCTGGATCTTGCCATGGGCATGATCTTTCCTTAACAAAGCTGAGGCTGAATCAGTCAAGGAAGAGAGCACAGATTACAAGTAGGGGAATGAGGGGGTCTAGGACTAATTGGAGAACAGTAGTCCACCAGCCTGTAAGGTTCTATTATTGCATCTTATACGTTAGTCTATAGAAAAGGTAACTGTGAGTACAACTTGGGGCACTATGGTGTGCTTGAGAGGGAGGCTTATCAAAGGATGCTAGGGTCCAAAAGGATGAGCAGAAGATGGGTTCGATATACATTCAAGTCACAGAATAGGTCTAGTT